TTATATACAAACCTGATTTTCTTGTTGACTACTAGACCAATCAGTGACAAATAGATCATTAAAACTGATATTGTTAATTGGGGTAGTTCCATTTCCAGCAGAAAACTGTCTTGGCGTACCAAAGTAAGATTCGGGGCATGCCTCTTGAAGTTGCATAGCATCAACCTGGATTGAAAACAATGAAGTGTGCAGTTTTCTTTACAAGTTCAGATGATGTAAAACACAAGTACATATTATTATTATCTATCTGGCAGTGAAAAGAGTAGAATTCACTCATCTCCAAAAAACTTTCAAAGGTGTGTTCGAATATGTTTGTGCATATACATTACATTTAAACACTTTACATTGATGCAGCGCAATAAATGACCGTACAGACACAAATCAGTTCTCACACTAAATATGACTGTAAGTACTCAAAGCATGCAGACAAAAATGTAAAATAATATTAGGTTAACATTACAATATCACAATTAAGGTTATTTGACAAATAGACAGGTGAATTGAATGAACATGAATTTTTCCTAACAAGGACCTCAAAATGTGCATTTGATAATTTCACCAATCATACATATTCAGACGATTTGATAATAAGATAAAATAAACTGTACCTGTGTTGTTCTTAAGTGAAATGGAAAATTCTTATTGGCAGCAGATGGCCTGGTTAATATCAAGAAAAATATATGTCCACCAAATATAACACTTCTTTCTATACCATTCACTATCTTAGCTCTAAAAAAAACATCAACACAATTCATCAATCCTGTCGTCAGTTTTTTAACTGTACATTTAACTGAAAATTGCTTAGCAAAATACACACAAATACCTTGGCTGAGATACACATTTGTAAATTAGAACATTTGGTAAATTTATACTAAAAGAACATTAAGTCATAAACAAAACCATCAGATTAATGTTCAATTTTGTTTCTGGATCTGTGAATGTTCAGTATGTTTTAGAGAATATATGTATAGATTTGAAATTTACTTTTGACATATATCATTAAAGCACACTAAAGCATGTCAATTTTGTTTTGGAATCTGTGTAGGTTGAATATGGTTTTTGGTACCGTCAATCATCTTGGATTGGATTGTAACACAAATCAACTGTTATTGATATGCTAGAACACAATTATCTGTGAACCAAACTTTGACCTAATTGAACAGCTTGAATTTTAGATATAAGCCAAAATGTGGGAAAAAGAACAAAATGGCTGCTGATGAGTATTTTTGACAAACACAAAATGGCCACCAGTCAGCCAATTTTGGGATATGCCTCAGTATATTAGGTGGTAATTTAAATTTCAACAGAAACAGCCAGCTTTAATAATGCTCTATACATATAAAAGATAGGTTATTTTTTGATCAAATATGGCTGCCATTTTGTGTATGAACAAAAACAAATTTGGGGCATATGTATACCATCATGTATTAACCATGCAACAAATTTTCCCATGAACTTCTAATATAATGCAACAGATGAACAAACTAATAGACAGAAACTAATTAAGTCCCCAGCCTTTTGAGAGGTACAACAACTTGCAAACTGAATGAGCAATTGCAAACACCATGAGTGAAGTGGTAGTTGCACTTTATACAAATTGTAAATACACATCTATATACCACACATACAAACATGTTGATATCCTAAAAAAATTAAGCCCAATTTGTGCCATAAGTTATAATTTTTGGCCTCCACTACACATTGATTTGCAATTCACGATATATTAATGTTTAATCCAAGTATCAGTATCAGTGCTAAGGTTTGGTAACCTGTATAATACCATAACTCCTTTCTTTACCCTAAGCCATGCAAACCATTATTTCATTTCTACTAGCTTGAATTTATATGAATTAAACTCATTGACAATTAAAAACGCAGTTTTACTATATTTAATTTAAAATCGTAAATCATGGTTTAGTTGGAGGCCATTTTCTTCATTAACATCACTGAGTTATAGTACTCACCTAATCCATTTGTCTAGAGAAAAGTTACAAATAAATATTGCAATAGGTGTTGCCAACCACCATGTTGTAAATATCAAAGAATATTTGAAATAAAATGTAGTTTTCTCTGGATATCGTTTAATGGTGATAAGTATAGCATACAGCATCCATATGTAACCTGAAAGTATAGAAATACACAATAATAGCATACATTTGTCACCATAACGCAATAAGTTACAGCGTGTTGTAATTTTGCGGTATTGCACTGGTATTTTCATTCTAAGATATTAGGAAAAGCAAATTCCAAATATGGAGTGATTGTGTAAGTGTCCTCTAATAATAAAAACAAACATAGCAGCCCCCAGGGTTTGACCGGACTCCACATAAAGTAACTTTTTGGATTTCAGCATTTCCATGAAATATTTAGGGAGGAAAAGATGTACCGGTATATTAATAAGGTTATTACGAGGATACCGCAAAATATGCAGTCAGACAGTGA